GGAAAATTTAGAAAATATTAATAATGACTAGTGACTTCATAGTTCATTTTAGCTTTCTTTCTGTTTGTCTGGACTTTTTATAGTTGAAAATGATAAATAAAAAAGGGGCCAGCAGGTAGCATGGTGCTTGGGGTGCTGGACTCCCATATAGTTGATCATGGTTCAAATCCCAGACCAAGCAGCTTGAGATTCACACTGGGTGCATGCACATGTGTGCCCTGAGAGGAGAATGGAGAAGGAGTTGCAGAATGGCCATCATCCCGGGGAGGGGGGGGGGGGGGGATTCTCACATTCTGTCTCTCTGTTTCTGTCTCTCCAGTGAGTACACATACCCTGTAGCAAAAACAAACAAACAAAACTCTCAAAGAAAATAAGAAAACAAAAGATTTTAAAAATTGTAATCCCCTCCAATCTACTAGCCAGCTCTGTCTACTGAAGTGATGGTTGCTCCTCTGTGTATTATGAGCCAACCTGGAAAGCAGAAAGAAATATAGTACCTACTTGATCTCAGATTGTCCACATGGCTTCTTCCTAGAGAGGCTGAGCAGATCTTTGCCATACTTCTCTTCAATCGCGGCCCTAAGGGGAATAGGAGAGAGGATTATGGGTCCTACCCTGGGACCGACTCCAGCTAAGATACATCACATTCCCCTTGAAAGCAGAACTTTACCTGTGACAGCAGAAGACACCATTCTCTAACATGCACAACTCCCTCTATGTGGCAGGGAAGAACTGTAACTAGACCAGAGGCCCTCACCTCTAAGGTGGGCTTCCCCAGCTACAGGTCCCTAACATGGACATCACATGACCATTACAGCAAAACTAAGCTTTTTTTTTTTTTTTAAGTGAAATAAGAGATGTTTCCATCAAATCTGTACCTTTGAGTCCAGCCCTCTTCTGTCTTCTCTGAGGGCCCTTTCACAATTTATGTAGAGTTCTCTGTTCATGGTCAATTCAAATACCTGACTAACTGTCCCATAGAAAAGGGAATTTCAGGATATAAACAATTGGCATATCTCCTACGAACAACTGGTTGTTACTCGGTGTTGTGAGATCACACTAAAGCATTAAACATCTCCTTTTCCCACCCACTCCTCCCCACTGTTGTCTGTAATCATCTCTACTTGCTGTCCCAGCCCCAGCCTTATCTAAACCATACTATTAGGTTTAGGCAATTTAGGCTCATCTGCTCCCCTTCTTCAGATTTTAAAAAATTACATAAGTGGGGCCAGCAGGTGGTATGGTGGTTAAGGGCACTGGATTCTCACATGACCAACCACAGTTCGAGTCCCGGACTTGGCGGCTTGCTTTCTCACTTTCCCTCTCTTTCTCTGTCTCTTTCTCGCTCGCTCGCTCTGTCTCTATCTGGTGAAATGAAAATAAAGAAATAAATAAAGTTAAATAAAATCATTACTTTTAAAAAATTACATAATAAATGAAAATGTCCCTCCTGCAAAAGATCCAAACACAAAAGTGTACAGTCTAAAATACAGAAGTGCCCCTTCATGCTCCCATCAACCCCATTCCTCTTTCAGGGGCAGCCACTATGAAATCTGTAATTACATACTTATGCCTCACAGCTAAATAACTTTTTATGTTTACATAATTGTCATCATTCTATTATTTGCTCTTTCAGTTAGTAATATATCTTATATCTTACAGAGCTTTCCTAATCATTATGTATGATCCACTATGTTCAGAACATGCAGTGGTCTATAGTATGAGGTCCTCTAGTTTGTTTTCAATTTTCACTACCACTAAAAATAAATAAGGGTCCAGCAGGTAGCATGGAGGTTAAGGCAATGGATTTCATATGACCAGCTTCACAGTTCAAGTCCTGAACATGGAGACCTGAAAATCACACAGGTTTTGGGACCAGCAGGTAGTATAGTGGTTAAGATGCTGGACTCCCAAGTGGCCAACTGAGGTTTATTTAAGGCCCAGACTCAGAGGCTTGAAACTCATGCCAGGCACATGTGTGTGTGCCCAAAATCCTGAGAGAAGAATGGAGAAGGGATAACAGTGTGGCCATCCCCCACCCCGGGGGGACAATTTCTCTCTCTGTCTGTGTTTCCAGAGAGCACACACATATTAAAAATCTGTATTAAAAATCTATTTTAAAAAGAAGAAAAAGAAAAGAAAATTATACTAGGCACATGTGTGTGCATGCCCGAAATCCTAAGAGGACAGTGAGGAAGGGTTGTGGCACAGCTATCTCCCCAGGGGAGTATTTCTTGCTTTCCCTCTTTCTCTCTCTCTCTCTCTTTCTGCCTCTCTCTGGCTAGCACATGTACCCTATAGCAAAAACAAAATAAATAAAAATAAAAAGCTAAACAAACATCTTTTAAAAATTAACAATCTTTTTTATCATCATCAGTCTGAGGAAAATGGTTTTTTAAAAAAAGGCTATCTCAGGGTCAGCTCCATAAGGCTGCCAGGTGTTTTCATAAGATCTTGACCCTTTTCAAACCAAGGCATTCCACTTAAAGATTCACTGCAACTTTGTAAGAAGAAAATATATATGGCAACAAAACCTATGTAAATGGGAACCTGGGGTCTAGCTCTGTAGCACAATGGTTAAGTTCTGTTGCACAGGGAGCTAGATCCCATGTGTCCAAACATGGTTCAAATCCAGACCCCAGAGCCTTAAAAAAACATGCTACGCATGTGTGCGGATGTTCCCCAAATCCTGACAGGATGGAGAAATGGAGGAAAAAAAGATTATGTCAATATTCCTTTCCATCATTGGGGTGCTTTTTCTCTCTTTCTCTCTCTCTTTGGTGAGCACATGTGCCTTTGCAACCAAAATAAAAGGATCTCAGGGCCAACAGGTGGCAGGTAGATTAAGGTGGTTGCGTCCCATAAGGCCACCTGCATGGTTCACATACCAGACTCAGCAGCTTGAAATATACTCTGGATGTGTGCGTGTGCATACCAAAATCCCAAGAGGAGAATGGAGTAGAAGGGATTGTGGTGTGACCACCCCCTAGGGGAATGATTTCTCACTTCTCTCTTTCTCTCTCCCTCTCTCTCTGCCAAGCACATGTGCAGGCAAGCAAAAAAAAAAAAAACACCTCTCATTTTAATTTGTATTTCTCTGATTTTCCTTGTGACTGTGCATCATTTTATATGTTTTATATATTTTATGTGTAGCTGTATTTCTTATATAAATTATCATCCAATTTTTAATTTTGCATTTTGCTTTTTTCCTATTATTTGGTAGAAATTTTTTATGTGCTATGAAAATAATACTTATTCTTACATATGTTACAGAGTTTCTCCTATTTGCTCATTGGTCTTCTCTAAATAATAACTTTATTCATTTTATTAAAATGATACGTTTTAGGGCAGGCAGATGGCATGGTGGTTAAGGACGCTAGACTCCCATATGGCCAACCGAGGTTCAAGTCCTGGATCTGGTGGCTTGCTTTCACACTTTCTCTCTCTCTCTCTCTCTCTCTCTCTCTCTCTCTCTTTCTGTCCCTCTCTGGTAAAATTAAAAATAAATAAAGTTAAATAAAATAATTCTTTTAAAAAATAAAATGATACATTCTCATTACTTTTAAAAATAAGCAAAAAGAAATGTACAAAGAAGAAAGCAATAAATCATCCAAAAGTCCACCAACTGAAAATAATTATCATCATTTGGTGATGATTATAATAGACATTTCTTTATTCAGGCACATGGATAGAATAGATGAACAAATAGATATGACAAACAATTTTAAAAGAATGAGATCATATTCTACAAACTTTTTATTTATTTATTTATTTTTTTAGGTTTTTGCCATAGAGCATGCATGCCCACAGAAGACAGAAAGACAGAGAGAGGGAAAGTGAAAAATCAACTCTCATCCCAGGGGGTGATAGCCATGTCACAATCCCTTCTCTTCCATTCTCCTCTCAGGATTTTGGGCATGCACACACATGTGCCTCACAAGATTTTCAAGCCACCAGGTCCAAGACTCAAACCACAGTAGACTGCCTTAACTAAGCCATCTGCTGGCCCCTCCACAAGCTTTTTAAAAATAAAGTATTGAATTCGATTTTACTTGAACTTTACAGAAAAAAGGAAACTGAAGTGAAGCCGAAGAAATTACTAATTTAAAAAAATAATCTTGCCAGAGGCTATGCACTTATTGGAGAGACACAGAGAGAGAGAAAGTGAAAAAGCATCCCCCTAGGGGAATAGCCATGCCACAAGTCTCTCCTTTTCACTTCTTTCTCTTTTTGAGATTTTGGGCACAAGCAAACACAGATGGCATGTTCTCAAGTTGCTGAGCCATGTAGTCAGTCATGAAGAATTCAGTCACCTTCACCACCACACCACAGGCTGGCTCTAATAAGTGTTCTTAAACTTTCCCTCAGAACTCTGCTGAACTTATTCCATTGGCTTCCTGTCATTATACAGAAGCCTAGAACTATCTGTTCCCTCCTGAACATTTCTTGCTTAGGCAATTTGTTTTTTCCTTCATAAGTACTTGAAGAATTCTTTCTTGAAGTGAGTAACTTAACAAGATGTGAGTAGATGTTGATTTTTATGATTCTATGAATCACTAATTAATATTGGTTACTGTATCAGTGTTTCTTAGCTTACAGCATACCCTTCAGACCTATTCACTTCATTTCATGGAATTTATCTTGTATGATATTTCTAAATACTTTTCTTTGTTAAATTATTACCTGGGACCAATTACTCAGATGTCAGATTAACTTTGTTTTTCCCTTTTTTGTGTATTATAGGGCACATGTGCTCACCAGAGAGAAAAAGAGAAAGTGAGAAATCACCTCTCTAGGGGGATAACCATGCCACAATCCCTTCTCCTCCATTTACCCCTCAAGATTTTGGGTATACACGCACACTAACCCAGCGTAATCCTCAAGCCTCTGGGTCTGGGACTTAAACCACAGATTCAGCCATGTGAGATATAGCCTCCTTAACTTCCATGACACCTGTTGGCCCAGCTTTGTCCATTATTAAGTTATGGGTTCTGGCTCTTTGCTGTTTCTGACCAAAAGCCTTTCTTCTTTCTTTCTTCCCCAGCATTTTTTTCAGCTGAGGTGCACGTGTATAGCTGCTGTGCCATTTGGTTTCATCTTGCTCCTGGTGTTGTGGGCAGCCCTGTCTATCTGCTCTGAGACCCTGCAGGTGAATTGTCCTTATGCCTTTCTAATCTATTTTTTTTTCTTTTTCAGGTTTTTGCCACAGGGCATGTGCTCTTGCTGGAGAGAGAGACAGAGAAACGGTGAGAGAGAAGGTGAGTAATCACTCCCTAGAGGGGATGACCAAGCCACAATCCCTCTCCTCCATTTCCTCCTGGGATTTTAGGCACGCACACACACACACAATCAAGCCATCGATTCCAGGACTTGAGCCACAGTTAGTCATGGGGAAGTCCAACACCTTACCCAGTCCAGCCACCTGCTGGTCCCATGCCCTTCCACTTCTCCTTCTCCTTCTCCTTCTCCTTCTCCTTCTCCTTCTCCTTCTCCTTCTCCTTCTCCTTCTCCTTCTCCTTCTCCTTCTTCTTCTTCTTCTTCTTCTTCTTCTCCTTCTCCTTCTCCTTCTCCTTCTCCTT